AAAAGTTGCAAACGAAAATATAGACACAAAAAACACCATGGCCTGTTAAATGTAGAATTAAATAACATAGGGCGGTATAACAAAGGGAGACACTTAAAAATCAATACTAAGCGAGCATGGGTTGGTAACAGGACATAGAATATAATAAGTGAAATTAATGAATAACGAAATTAGAGGCATACTAGCCGCCATGAGGAGCCGAGGCATATGCTGCTTAAATTGGCCCTTATTCAACCCTATATTCCCTAAGCCTCAAGCTCCGGCCTTCTAGCCAAGATGGGTATAGCCCTGAGTCCCAGCTCCTCAACATTCTGGGGATCTAAGGTGTTGAACTCCAGAATAGTCAGCTTATAATAGCTCCAAGTCTGACAACGACACAAAACTTGCGCCGAGGACTCTCCCTCTACCCCACAGCACTCACACATGGGATCCTCAGCCGCCCGCATCGCATGGAGGTGGCGCCTTATCGTGTTATGGCTGGACAACAGTCCCACCAACAACTTGAGGTTTGCTCTAATTAAAAATAAACAAAAACGCACATTCTTAACACTGGACCCTGCGATGAGCTACCGTGCCTGACGGACATGTCTAGAGATGCTTCTCCATTTCTGAGAGTGTTTGGCAATCCACTTCCCTAATTGACTCCTGACTGTTTGCGCGGGCACCCCTAGGACTAGCTCAGGACCGACAACCTTGCTCGCCGCTCGCTACCCATACTAACGATACCGGATGCTTCGCTGCTAGACTATCCAGAGCTTTTCTGCATTGCAATACAAGGCTCGAAGTAATCTTGCAGGCACTTAGTGCCTCCATTCCGCCTGGAAGATAGTAGTACATCTGCCGAGAGGCAGAGATAGCCTAGTTCTAGGCTCAAGGACTCCGGCGCCAGAGCCTTCTTCACTAACCGAGCCGTCGGTGTACCAGACCTGCCCAGTTCCTTCGGAAACCTTACGGCATCCGGAGGCCCACTCTGCCCTCGACGGATACTCACATTAAACTTGCGATTGAAGCGTTTTTTTTTGAGTGATCAGATCTCCGTTTCTCAGGAGGACGGGATCCTCCCTTTGTTGTCGCGCATCGACTAAGATGGCAGTATGGCCCAAGGGCCAAGAAGGCCAAACTGCCGTGACTCCACAGTCGATGTACGACAACTCTCACTCTCCGCGGATCACTATATCCAACGGTGGGAGATCCAGCATAGCACTCAATGGCGTTGACCGCAGTAGGCTTCTAATTCTGGTACAAGCCAAACGCTGAATTTTATTGAGTTTGGCCTTAGTCGTCTTGGTTCCAATGCAAGGCCACCAAACCAGGGAGCCATGTAAAAGATTAACGTACTGTCGTTGTGTAGAGACAGTGCACCACTTTGGTTTTAAGCCCCCGCCTCATTCCGATAACACGTTTGCAAGCCCACCACGAAGCTTGTTAACCTTGTATTAAACAAAAAATGGGTGGAAGTCTCAATACTACACACGGAGGATAACAATTACAAAAGGAAGGTGAAGAAATCGGCCTATATAAAATTAAGTAAGATTTTCTGTGGACTGTGACCAAATTTGATTGAATATATCCTTGAAGGAAAGATCTAATTGACACTTTCCAACCTAACTAGTGGACTATGAGTTACTTATCCAGGATTTCTCTTATGGGTTGTTATTGAATCTCAAGCCCGCAAATGTTTTACTTCGCCATCTTACGCCAAACTGTTATGTCTTAAATTATTTCCTCAGAAAACAACATGGTTTCCTTTAGGTGTCGAAGTACTATTACTCGCATTTTTTTTATCAACAATGCACATGCAGCTTTTTTGTCGAAGATTACATTTCCATCAACTGTTGAGTTGCGATAATGCTTCTTGGTGGGTTTTTGCGTTTTCGGCGTGGACAATGGACGAGAGTGACGAGTCTGGTCTGGATAACCTCATGCTCACCTGTCAATTTGTGGAGCTGTACTTTCTTTTGGAAACGCAAACGCTCACCCCAGGCAGTCCTTAGCCTAGCTGGTCTTGTGCGGTGCCGTCTTAAAATTACAATGACCGCAGGAATGTGAATAAGCGAGCAAAACAGCAAAAACAAACGAAGTGTCATCCGGAATACAGATAAATAAAATATATTGTCAATAAATGTCAATTGAACTCAAAGGCATAAGAGCCCTGCAGCCAATGTTAATGTTAGTATTTATGAAACAAAATGCGCGTGCCAGAACGATTTGTTTATTTATTTCCGCGGTAAACCATTTTACAATAAGAAAATATAAAGGCTTCAATATCTGTCAGACAATTGCATCACATTTAAAACCGAAAAATTAAAAATATACCTGCCCAGCCTGGTAAATGGATTATGTGAAATCTCTAGAAAACCCATATCAGCATTATTACTTGTATAAGGGATGAGCCGATTCAGAGTGAAATTTTGAGCATATTTTGAGCTGAGTTTATTATACAGCATAACAAAATTCTGGTATTAACTGAAAAATTTATTTTTCCCGCCAACTAGGGGGATTCAATGAATTACAATATTTAGTAATTTAAAAACAAAGCACATGTCCAAAAACACTGTCCGATTTCCAAGCAAAAACAGTCCAGTTACTTATGGACTCAATCTCTAGTTGATTATTTGCCTGCCCCATTCTGTTAGTGACACCTTAAAAGCTTGTGTGGCTTTAATGCATTTTGCTGAATACCAATATCTTAAACATATGAAAATTCGAGACATTTTTATAAGCTGTGACTACACGCAAGTGCTACCCTGACATAAAAGCACTATAACCACGTAGTCATAGCTACAACTCGGAAATATCCGTATTGCGAATACTAAATTTGAGTACTTACATCACACCGGAAACGTTCTATAATTGGTAGCTGTGTTGGGAATTGAGAGAAATGGAAAATAATAAATTGCTTTGAAAAGGTCGTCCGGTTTGCTCAAAGCTCACAAGCAATCGATATTATATATGTATATTGTACAATGATAGAGCTCTTTTCACTTTATGTGAGATATCATATTTCCGAAGCAAAATAAATACGTTCCTGTTGGACGATTACATTCTTGGTCTCAATCTGGATATTCATATTTCACAATTCATTGAATACAAGGTGATTAAAAAACAATGGCAATATTTCTAGAGCAGAAATCACAAAGATCTATTGAAAGTTCTTATAAACATATCTCCTACAAAGTTTCATTACTACACACTACCTCAATACAATAAACTTTCGAATGTTAAAGATCTTGCGGAATTGCGAAGTTTTCCAGGTGCCACTTTCTCAACAATTGCGCAACATTATTCCCATTTAACCATCTTCGTATCTCTTCCCGGCTCCGAGATCCCAATAGTGAGTCGAATTTAAAACACCTGGTATACAGTAAAGAAAGAAATGAGCTATATCCAATAAATAAGTGGTAGATGACATAACACAACATTGATATTATGTGAAACAACAAGTACAGCGGCGTCGTACAGTAACCCTCTGTTGGGCGATTCAGTAGACTACACAGTCGAGCAAGTTCGCAAACATTCCATTCTTCGCCTCGCACTGTGATCAAAATTAAATTGTGAACTTCAGACAAATCAAAATTATTCCTATATACAAAACTGATAAAAATTATTTTTTGGAGTTACAAAATTATTCGAGTAGTTAAACCAATAATGCTTAAGCTAATTGAAATGTTTTAATTCTCTTCTTTGATCTATTTCTTCCTTCCTATCTGGGTAAGCCATACCTGACAGACTAGCAGACCGACGAGTACTCTTAACTAAGAGCAAAGGTCCACCGGACCGCTTTGAGGAACATTGATGAATGGTATACATGAAAATTGATTTTAATAATGTGTTCCTTTCGAAAATTGTCATTTGAAAAAAAAAGAAAACATTCATCTGGTGCTGTCATTCACTTGTTTGCATTCTTGTTGCTCTGACTTAGAATAGCGTAAATGTTTAAGTATACAAGTACTCGGCAAAGTCATTATTTCAAGCTTTACAAATTCCTGCAGCTTTCCCGTTTAAGGTTTGATATAGCTTGGTCTTCTGTTTTCACATGATCCTCCCCACATCGTTATGCCATATGCTAATATAGAATGGGCATATGCAAAGTAGTGAGTTATAACTACTGAAGTAACCAGTATGTAGTCAATATGTGAAATTCACTTGCAATTCTCTGACACATGGATGCCTAAAGATTCGGCAGAGTTGACTTGTTCGATTGAATTATTTATAGTTCTAATTAGCAAGCTATGGTTTGGACTGTGTTGGGCAGGACAAAAACGTATGAACTGTTTCTTTGCAGTGTTCTGGATCAAACCATTATCTGTGAACCACTGTTGTATTTTTCTTGTACCATAGTCCGACACTGTTGGCAGTAATGAGCGCATGAGTATCACCTGCATACATGACGTGTTTGTTGCTGTGGAAATCGTTGATAAATATAATATACAACAGTGGTCCTAAGATAGATCCCTGCGGTACCCCGATACCGCAAAGACATCTTGTTGTTCACTTCAATGTATTGTTTTCTATTTATGCAGATAATTTCTGAACCACTAAAGCGGCACCCCTATTTCAAAGTAGCTCTCTAATTTAGCTAGTAGAAGCTGATGATCCACCAAGTAATAATTTTTTGAACAGACAAACAGCTGAGACTCATTCTCATAGATGACGCTACGGGATCCATTTTATCTCGAATAATTCTTTGACGCGAGAGTACAGCAGGTTGGCTTTATGTTTGACGTTTGGATACTACTAATATTCGTCTTTGTTGGTCAGAACGGTCCATCAGATCTATGCTCTTAGTTAAAAAGTTTGTCGGTCCCAGATACCAGAAAAGTTTAAGCGAGATAGGAAAAGAAGGAAGTAAATGAAGGAACAAAGCGAAGAAATGATAAAATCAGTTGAAGCGGAAAAGACTTGAGCAATGTGAGTTTGACTACTCGAATAATTTCGTTTTTACCAAAATAGTGTTGAGATGTACTGTATGTGATCATGATTATCATTCTTCATTGTTACAGACCCTACACACAAAATGCAGGACTACGTAAGGAGCATTGCCAAAACGTTCATCTGTTTCATGGTGATTTTCCTGATTACAGCGAGCGCACGGCCACCACATTTGGATGATAATCAGGTATTATAATTTTATTATTAACTCTTCTGTAATTTAGTAAAAAATAGTAAACGGTTCCTATTGATCTGCCAGTATCACAATAGAGTGAAACAAAAGACATCAAGATAACTTTAAGGCAGAGGTTTTTGGTTACTACTGAATCCGCTAATTTGTTTATTGACGAAAATTGAAAGCTCTGCCGATTTGTCATAATACCTGACTGCTGATTAGAATCAACGAGTTTTCTTGAAACATCACCGCCCCTGCTGTTATACACGTATTTGTAATCAGTCTATGTAAAACTTAAAAGTAGGTTTCACGCCATCTCAGAAAAGTTTTATCATTATGCCGTGCCTCCATACGTTCTCCGACAATGTGTTTCAGTTGATATGATTCAATTCCAGCTAGCTTTGCTAAAATAAAACAGTAGCCTAGAGTAATGTCTTCAATGAATCAGTCGACTTAAATTGATAAAATCTACAAAGAAATATAATACAAATATATTTTTATATAGAAAATGTAATTTTTAACACAAGAGATTGATTATTCTTATCTGGGAATCGTTTGAAACGCATTTTAGTTCAAATCAATAATATTCGTTCCAAAGTTGCATGTCCATGATATCTGCTTATTTGAAGTTTGACAGCCCGTTAACATTTCCGCCTCTTTATCCGATTTTTTTGGCACCAACCAAATCATATAAGAGGTATTTTGTACTAAAGATTTATAATACCCTTCTAAGTTAGCAATATTTCGCTAGTGTACCGCATACTCGGCAACCAGTAGTAGTTTGTGGCGGGGTATAATTTTTATTTCCTACTCATGTTTCATTAATTACCGAATTTTATCGAGTTTGACCTTAGTCGGCTGAGTTCCAGTGCAAGGCCACCAAACCAGCGAACTATACAAAGAGATGGGTTTTAAGCCCTCGCCTCACCTCAATAACACGTCTGCAAGCCCACAATGAATTGCGAGCCTTTTAACCTTGTACTTAACAAAACATAGGTGGAAGTATCAATACTACACAGAGGGGATAACAATTACAAAGGGAAGGTGAAACCAGGTTGCACTGAATGAATGTTTGATATGTTTAGCGATAGGCGTTTAAAATACTATAGGTACGAGTATATTAAAAAGCTTACGTAATATTTTTTTTCGACTTACATTTTAAAATGTTTTATTTTTTATAAGAAACATGATTTAGGTTATTTTGGTTTATAATATATCGGCTCAACTAACCTTATGTATTTTACGGTTTCCGTACTCAGATACAATATTCAAGTTCATTTCACATAATACGGATATTTTTAATTTCTCTTAAATAACTTAATTGATTTAGACGGGTTTGTAAATTGACGGTAGGTAATAAGAAACCTGATTTGTACTGGTTATATCCAACTGAGTTGACCCAGGGGCAGCGCTATCACATCTTAACTTATTATTTAGAATTTTAGCTAAGCAGGCCACCGAGTTCTTTGTTCGTATGATCAAGTGACTTTGAGAGTTCCGCCTGCCTGTTCAGTCTGCAGCTATAACGAAGGTATAAAACTTACTTGGATTACTCTAGTTTAAAAGTTCTCAGATTTTGATTCGTCTGAGATCTGTATATTTCAGAATTTGTATAGTGAGAATGGTTCAGTCACTATGCTTTTTGTTGATTCTCGTATTACGATTAACAAAGTCCTAAATTTCTCTTCATTTCTGGGAGTTTTATCATTTGACGGATGTTTCTGGTTGTAAACTCTCAAACTAATTGTTCGCAAGCAGAAGAAAATATCATTTCGTCAGAAAGTCCTTGGATCGGACTGTAAAAGAAACCTAAATTCTGAAATACCCTGTTAAATTTGATGGCTCCGCCACTGAGACAACTGAGTCAGATATAACCAGTATAGGTCAACTCCTTTAATGTCCTCTGTCGGTTCAAAGAGCTTCATCTGAATCACTTAAGTAATTTAAGAGATATCCTGGAAGTTGGGACATTCCTTTACAGAAACAACTATTTTTGTGATAACAAAGCTGTTGTGAAGATGAACAACAGCGGAAAAGCGAAAAACATGAAGGGGGTACTTAAAAAGAAATTTCAGGCCAGCTGTGTCTTCAGCCGTGTTCACCTCAGTTTTATATACTGAACATTTAATTTCGCCCAAAACAGAAAAAGAAATCACGAAGGATCTGTATGCACTGGGGAAGGGTCCGTAGCATCTCGAATACACTTACCATAAATCAAAATAATATGAACCACTTCGATATTGCTGTATGTGCTTGTTTTTTTTAGAGCCGTTGTGCAAAGGATTTGCTTAAGAAACTGCTCAGTCCTAACTTTGAGGGCACCTAAAAGCACTAAGCTCTAGCACCCTGTATTTCAGTAACGACATCGTAAAGTTCATGAACGTTTGTGTGTTTATGGAAATGAAGCTTTAAAATTAAAAAAAGCGAATAAAAAGAAGCTCATAAAATTAATAGGTAGAATGTACGGTATTTTAAAGCATTCCGATAAAAATCTAAAAAATCTATTAGTGAACTTGGCTCCGAGGTTTTATTTAACTGCACTCAACGAAGGACAGTTTTCGTAATTTCTGCTATACACCAATCTACGTTACCAATTATGTGCTCTATTGCCACTTCTCTGTTGTTTAGGTTGATCAAGACAACTTCCCTCTCATGGAATCCCCTCAGCTCAAACCATGGCAAATGGCGTTGCTCGCACAAAGGCTCGCCGAACTGAATCAAGTTGAAAACGGAATTGGCCCAATGGGCCCAGAGAGCTTCCAAAGGGCACTACGAAGTGAAACTGAAAGGAAACGTCGTTATCGCGCATGCTATTTCAACCCCGTCAGCTGTTTCAAGAAGTAAACTATCGAGATGAAGATGAGATGGAGCTGCCTTTATGCGGATGGATTGTCACAAGCGAGTTAATATCATGAAAGATCATCCAAAGTACACTTTTTAACTCAGAAACCTTAAAAGCTTCCTAAATCAAATTAGTAGTTAGAAGGAGTATTGTTCAACGTATGCTACCTAAAGATAGCAAATCGTATAGTGTATTTCGGCGTCCAAAACTGGATCTGTAAGAGACTAGCGCCATCAATAAGTCAGTATCAGAATACAAAAATGAATTTAGAAATCTATTTTGAGCTAGAACGTTTGGTTCTGCTACTGTTCCTTAGATAGCGCTAGGATCGACAACGATTTTTTTCGACTTCAGACATGAATTATCGTGTTCCACCTGGAAATATCCAATTAAAATATGCGTTACAGGAGCCAAAAAGGGACTGTATACTCTAGCGGCATCTATGGTACAGTATCAGAACCGAACACTGTAACTCGTTTCAAAGTAGATTAATAAATTAAGTTTTGTATCTTTCTACTGTCTTATATCTGTGGATGGCGAAAGTTTTTTTTTGAGAATCCATTTTGAACACCGGATGGCAGTATCTGTTTGCCTATCTTCAGTTAGAATGCATTAATAAATGCCAAGAGTAAGCTACGCAATTTTTGAAGTTACAGTAGCAATGCAACTGATTTGTAAAACTATAGTCTATTCATGATGATAACTCACGTGATCTTGGTGCTATTTTCACTACAAAGAGATGTGCAAATTTCAAACTTCCAATCACTTACATATATGTATATATGTTTATTTTGAGAAAAGCAATATCGTCTACAACAAGATCTTCCATTGTATCTTTTTTTAATTTATATAGCCACTTTGCAGTCATCATTCGTTCTAATTTTATACAGGTATCAAACTTAAAAAATAATTTTCCTCTAAGGGATCTTTTATTTTTTTGTTATTATAGTATAAGTTGTTTACGTGATGAAACATTTCCTTGTAGTGAAATAAAGATATTATGACGGAGAGCTGAATTCTATAATAGATGTAACATAAAATTTAAATGTAAAATTATTTTTGATTCCCATTTCAATCAAGTGTAAATGATTCGATCATAACGTAAGAATTGTGTGAAATTCTAGAAACATGGGGCAAACATTCAAGTGATGTTTCTTTGTACTATTCCAAGACTATTTCTCTCCTTGGAAATTTTTGGAAATGATGCTTCGGTTTGGAGATACATGCCTCTGAACAACGTCAATGGAAATTTCTTTTTCTCAAATAACATCAGTAAAAAACCACTTATATTGCAGCCAATCAAAAAAAAGAACAACAAGCCGAAAAATTGATAAAGTGGTCGGAAAATGTATACTTGTGTTTTTTCTGTGCTGTACTTTCATATTCACCGAAATTATTAGTAAAGAAAACTGTTTAACAATTTATTTAAAAAAGCTGTTCAGATTATCTGAATCAAACAAGTACACATTTTTCCAGATAAGGGATCTCGCTCCACAAAATACTAACTTTGAGCTATGAAAATTTTCAGATAGAACACTCTGTATACTTTTACTTTCATTGGCCTTTTCACAAGTGAGTTAGTTACTAAATGCAGAGGGACACCTTCTTGACCTTTCAACTTTATTGCATAAGCTCGAGTAGTTACGATTTATAAATAAATGAATATATAAATATATAAAATACACTAATTCTGACGATCTGCTATTACCAGCTATTTTTTATTCTGAAATGTAATGTAATATTTCTCATGTACCCTAATCACTGTTTTACAAAAAAGTTGGTTGTAACTCAGAAGCCATACATCTCTCTAAAACCTCATATCAAAGAAAAGCTTGTGAAAAGAGGAATCAATGGATGTGAAAATATACAGGACATGCTAAAGAGAAAATGTGGGAGATCATTTTTTGAGCTAAAGCTATAACTGCTGAGGAGATGCGAGTAAAGTTAAGCATGTTTTCGACAGATTATCCAATCTCTCACAAATTTAAAAATAACTACTTCATTTCAAAGGACCTACCCGAATCTGCAATCAAATACAGGACAATCCATTCAAAAAAATGTATGGGTAGTCGAAAAGTTACGAATCACCATGTAGATATGAAAACATTTTTCAAGTGAGGAACATACTATTGAATACAATTTTTGAAGCTATTTTTTTTTAGCTACCATGCGTTAGAGTTATCGTCCAGGCAGGCACAATAAACTCACCGTGTATGTAAGTGGCCATTCTCTCATATAAAATTATAAAAAAACATTCGAGAATGTGTGAGCTTTGTACAAAAATGCTGAAATTGAGAGATTTGAGATTTAAAAACACAATTAAGTACTAAAATAAAAAATATGTTGATGAAGTCTAATATGATCTTATTTATATATTTAAAAGCAAAAAGTTCATGAATCCTGTCAATTTCAGGTCCAAGAACCCTGCTTATAGGCTCTGATCCTTTGGTCGGCTCATAAGGAGTTGTTCAAGAGTTATTTATGAAAAATTAATTTTCAGTAGTGCTTTTCAGGGGTCTTTTAGAGGCAGAGCGTTATTTCTAGCATCGTCAGAGAGCAACATGGTCAAATAATGGATCGAATTATCACCACATGAATGTTTGCCTTACGTTTTGGTAACACCCTGTACAATCTTTTAATCGCCTAGAGACACAACCTAGTAAAATAGCCAATTCTGAAGATTAATGCATGAGATTCTAAAGGTACAGTCTGGAGCGAAAAAAATTGCGCGGCGTCTTCACCACGGAGCAAGTGGCAACCATGCTGTGTTTTCCCATAAAATGTAGGAGCCGTCACGCAAAATAGCTGAAATTGGTGTGTCTCCTTTTAAATAATATAAACTTTTGTGTAGTGATATTTTCTCATCATCCTCCATAATTCAAAATTCAGCTGTAAATATGATATTCATGAATAAGTTATTTCATATACGTATATACGTATGTATATGCGGTGAGTGACATCAACGACTCGTGAATATGTCTTCTCAGATGTCTTGCTCCCTTCCGAATACTAAATTAATGTTATGAATCCCAAATCGACCTTTCGGAGGATTTCAGGCTTCAATGTAATAATAAAAACAGCTACAAATTCACATCGCATGATTTTGACCTCAGGCTTTATAAAAACGATTTAGAAGGTAAGAGCTGCCCTTTAGTCGTTTCAAGTAGGTAAATAACCAAAATCAGCTATTTTAATGACACCCGAATTTTATAACCTACTGAGCTCAAATAAGCGTTAATGTAGTCACTATGCCAAATTCTAATATTAGGGATTCCAATTGAAAATCGAACTTTGAATAAGACAAATATTCTAGCTAAAATTTGTAAAAATTTGCAAAATATTGTCCCCATACAAACTCGAATCATTTCCAATATGGCTGTATCTGAGTGTAGTTGTCGTATAAAGAATAATAAATAAAATGAGATTTACTATTTTAACTTTTCTCTTACCGCAACTCGAATTACCATTGAATATGATGACGATTCCATTGTGTTTTATATGGAAATCGTAGAGGAAGAACTTAAACAGCCTGATAAGCATAAACGCGCTAAGCGAGAAATATGGTATGAGCATTAGTATACTTTGGCTTATGGGAGGTTCGCAGTATATAGGGCGATTCACCGAACATGTTGATTGAGTATCGGGAGTACTGAGGATAATATAACCAAAGCTATTTTTTTTACTCAAAAATCAACCGTTCTTCCCCTGACCCATCGACACCTTGCGCAACAACTTATTTTTTAGTAATCTTGGAGATGTAATTTTTTCATGATTTTGCAATTATGACTGCACTAGCCTGTATACAGAGTGTTCAATTGAAGACTTTCCACCACGGATTTATCGAAACCCATTGATTAAAAGAAGAACCGCCGCGACACGTCAAAAGATTTGTCAAGGCGGACAACTTTTTAGCCAAAGACTACTTCACCCCTTTCACCCTCTGCCCCCAGGGTCATCCCCTTAAAACTCCTAGGGGTATCGAGTAATACCTTGTTTGAACGGTCTTTCGAGGTCGTATATTTTAACGTTTGATTTTTCGAAATCAGTTGATTCGTTTTCAAAAAAATTAGAAAAATCTTCATTTATCTTATTTCAGATAAAAAACACACGAAGATATCACGTTTTATTTCAATAAGTGTTCAAAATGTTGCCCGTTATTGGCCAAAAAGTGATATAGGCGATGTTCGAATTCCTGACAGTTTCAAAAACATCTTGTGGGGTATCGTGGTATCATCCAAACTTTTTATTCCTCTTTGATTTGGTTTCCAATGGTTGCAGTGATAAACGGATTGATGGTATTTTCTAATATATCCAAATAAATGTTTCCATTCAAATCGCCATTAATAAATAATGGCCCAGTCACTTTGTTTCCTAAATTGCCTGCCCATACATTAATTTTTTGGGGGACTGCAAAATGGATTTCCATTGCTCCAACACCTGCAGTTATGCTTATTAACAAATCCATTTAAATAAAGTGTGCATTCTTCACTGAAGCAGATATTTTTTACATGAATGGTATTATCATTAATCGCTGCAGTCATTTGTTGACAAAACTCAAATCGCCTATCGAAGTTATCTTCGATTAGCTCTTGCAATATTTTCATTTCGAATGGATGAAATTTATGGAGTTCAGTATCTGTATGTAGAGAGCCTAATGAAATACCAGTGGCAGCAACAATTTTACTCAATAGTATTAAGATTTATTCCAAAATGACCCAACAAATCCAGTTTGAGTAGATTTAGTAACAAGGCCCAACACATAGAGGAAATATGTACAAGATGTTATATAGTTTCGTTTTTGTGTCATAACCTTTTAATGGTAGTTCACTGCACAACCATATCTCACATCAATCATCTTTTATCCTTAAATTATTGAAACTAATAAACATTTTTATCAAAAAATCTACAAAAAAAAAAACAAAAATATTTAACTGAGATCAATCATAATCCATTTTGTCCAAATGCTTCGGACAAAATGACATACATATAATAGCTACAAAATTATTGGCTTAATTCGCAAATGAAACGCTTAGTTCTTCTTGGAATATCAGCGCAAGAAGCGTGAGCCCAAAGCGAACATTGTATAAAGGTCATTACAGTAAATGCAAGCACATTCCTCTTCATCTTCATGCGGAATATCAGAAAATCTTCTTCCTCATCATTTTCTTCAAATAATTTTTGGTGACTACGTTTTTAGATTTTATTTCCAACATCTTAGGAGTACAAGCCAACGCCAACCAGCTCGGTCGAATTTTTCCCTTGACCACTAATAAAACGTCCTTTTGGTACGGGAGAACACACCTCAATAGGAACAGCAAGAGCAGAAGACGACATATGTTCATTGGTAGCAGCAGTTAAAACAACTTTTAGACCGGAGTTTGTTGTTGGAACCTCTGATAAATTTTCAGCTTGTGGGTGGGTAAGTGCTGTTATTTCGGCTGCATTATTTTCTTCAGACATCGTATCATGGGACCATGGCTTAATGAGAGGTAACGCAGCAGCCACAGCGGCTTGTTGTGAAGGTTGTGTCAAAACCTGTTCAGACTCGACAGAGCAGATTACTTTTGAAGGCTGAGGAGGTTGTTCATTGGAGTTGTCTTCTAACGGTATGTTTGTGGTTTCAGCGGGCTCGTACATGTAATCCGGATATATATCAGGGTTCAGTGGTCAGGTGCCAGTGCTTTTAAATCCGTGACATGCATTTTGCATCGTAGCTGTTTTGCCATATGCTTCGTATTACATATGTCGTTTTGTCCGTAGAGCGTTTTAAGACAATAAAATTTGTAAATAAATATACAAAGCGCTTTTTTTTTAAAAAATAAGTTATTTAATTTGAAGATAAGTATTTGAGGCATAAAACAAATGCTACATAAATATACTAAGTGACATATAAATCCGAACACCCAGTTTAAATGGTTTTATTTTAATAAAAGTCGGTGAATGAATTTATCTTACTGTAAATAACAAGTGAAAAAATGTTCAGCCTTATCAGTTGGACATTCCGGTTTTTATACTGCTTTTTTTTAATTCACTAACGCTCTAAAAATGAATATTTCAGCCGCAGTAAAGAATCAACGTTGGCGGATTTTGGTTCTTGACATCCTTTACGATCGGTTACGATGCCTAGAGTACGGAGACCTGTACGATTTCGTCAACTTAGTGAGTTTGATAGGGGCCGTATAGGGGGACTTCGGGAAGCTGGACTTTATTTTCGGGCAATTGCAGATAGAGTGCAAAGAAGTGTAGACACTGTGGTTAGGTGTTGTCAGGCATGGCTTCGGGAAGGCCGTACGCAAAGAGCAAGGGGCACTGGACGCCGCCGTAGAACAACAGACCGTGAAGATCGCCGCCTAAGATTATTGGCCTTAAGGGACCGTTTCTCCACTACCAGGTCCATTGCAAATGAATGGTTTGCAGAACATGGAAGACCTATTGGCATGCGAAGTGTTTACCGACGAATGAGAAGTTTTGGCTTGTTTTCATACCGGCCACACTGGGTCCTCCCTTTAACTCGAGAACACCGACGTAATCGCCTTGAGTGGTGCAGACAACGGTCACTCTGGGATCAGGAATGGAACAGTATTGTCTTTAGTGACGAGTCTCGATTTTGTTTAGGCATGCAAGATGGTCGTGCCAGGGTTAGAAGGCGACGTGGTGAAAGGAGGAATCCACAGTTTTTTGTTGAAAGACATGTTCATCACACTGTTGGAGTTATGGTTTGGGGTGCTATAGCTTATGGTTTCAGGTCACCCTTAATCTTCATCAGAGGTAACATGTACGCGCAGCGTTAAATCCACGAAGTTCTAGAGCCCCATCTTTTACCCTATCTTGACACCCTGGCAGATCCAACTTTCCAACAAGATAATGCCCGACCACATGTTGCAAGAGTCACAATAGACTTCTTTCAACATAATGATGTCACATTGTTACCATGGCCACCAAGATCTCCCGACTTATCCCCAATTGAGCACGTGTGGGATATGATGGGTAGGAGATTGCTCAATTTGCAACGTCCTCCTCAGACTCTAGAAGCACTTCGAGAGGAGTTGGTGGTTGCCTGGAATGAGATACCACAGGAGGACATTGACCACCTGATCAGAAGCATGCCTAGGCGCGTTGGAGAATGCGTAGCACATCAGGGTGCATCCACACATTATTAAAGGTCAAAGGGCTTTAAAGCAGTGCAATCATTTTGAAATTTTTATCATTTACTTATTATGCTTCACTAAGTACTTATACAAAATTTTATTAAAATAAAACCATTTACACTGGGTGTTCGGATTTATATGTCACTTAGTATAGATACAACAGCAAAAAACTTACCATTTGAGAAAAAACTCGTAACGTGTGAATACCTATATCATCGGCCATGACACCAAGACGAATGAAATGAATGCGTTCAAAATTTGACAGATTATAGAATGCCATCATGGTCGCGTGGTGCCACTGTCAGTCTCGTGCTGACATTCGCCAAATTCAAAATAACCCGCCTATGTTATTTTGTACATATAAGTCATTTTGTACGTATTTCCCCTAGCTATGCTAAGTTATCTTCCCCGGATGTCTGGCGTTAAACGTGACGGCAGTTTGCCGAGCACATTGATTTGGGGCGCCATAAATTAGAATCATTTCCACTCTTTCGGCTAGTGTGTAAACCATTTTAGAAGTACAATCTGAATCATTAAATTAATTTTAGAGACCTTTCAAACAAGCTATAACTCCATACCCCTTGTCATTTGAAAATTTCAAGGGAATGACACTGGGGTGCCGAGGGTGGAAGGGGTGAAGTAGTTTTTGGTTAAAAAGTTGTCCCCCTTAACAAATCTTTTAAACTGTCTCGGCGTTTATGCTTCTAATCTGTGGTTTTCGATAAATCCTCGGTAGAAAGTTTTCAAATGAACACCCTGTATATCTATTTATGAACATTTCACATTATTTTGGAGTCTCTCCTGGCCTGGGTTTATTGTCATTATTTTCTTAATCACCCTGTACATTTGAAGAACTGCTGCTATCTTTAACTAGACTGGATGGTTAGAAATCATTGAAAGATGCTTGGAGTAAGTAAGCACCACAGATTACGTATAAATCATACTTTATTCTTAAGTTCATTTACAAAATAGAAGGTACACAAACATACGAGTAATTCGCAAAGTAAATCGGAAATACTGTACAAATTAAAGAGTAAAATACGCCTTTAGTATGAAACTAAAGAGACATATCAAAGTTTTATAAATATATGACATCAAATCTTTTACATATAAAACACAAATCGCATTTTTTCATACAAAAATATTTACATATCTGCTTAAGTACTTACGTATGATACATACCAAGATATGAGATGTTAATGGTCATTTAGCTATCTCTAAAGGTTAATATAATAACCATCAAACTTTAACTCAGTTCTTGATGGATATAAAAAAAGTTTTAATGGTTATCCCTGCGGAGGTGTTCTCTTTTAAACTAAAAACATCTTCGACATTATTCGTGATCCAGTTAGAAATTTTGTATAGCACCTAGAATCAAGCAAACACATACCATGAAGGAGATCGCACCTGGCCTAATCTCTTACCTTGGTAAGTACCTTGTAACATTATATATTGAATATGATACATATTGAGCAAACATTTATATCAGATTAAACAAATAATTGATTCAATAGAGATTTTTAGGAACTACAAAATATATAATAATTATTGCATTTGAGGAAGATTGCAAATTTTACTGAAGTTGTTCGAAAAAAATGTTTAAGATGGTCATAGAGATGATAGAGATTATGTTTTTCATTACCAGTAACCAGGAGTTACGAAACCTCGGTTTACCAGATATATTTAGGGCTATATTTGGGAGTCTATGAGTATAAGAAAAATATCGGCACAGATATGGAAGGCTACTGAAACTAAATATCTTTGCATAGAATATATTCTTGATTATTGAGAACATTTTATCTACACCCTCAGTTCAAATAAAGTTTATCATACCCTACCAATGAGGTTGCATCAGACTAATGCTAAAAACTGCACCTGAGGTATGAATTTATGAGCTTAGAAAAGTGTTATAGTTCTGCGAGGATAGCGCATTCGCAAAAATTTTCAAAGTGTCATCCTTTGATATTCACGTTCTTGATATTACAATCACATATATTATGCATATATAAAGTTTTCCAACATTTCCCGAAGAAATGTTAATCACATGGAAGACAGTGAATATAGTAGACTCGAGACTTCAAGACGTGCCTCCGGAATCTGACGTATTTCCGGTATTGTGGACGGAGGGATCCGGTGAGCCGGAACTTCCTGCCGAGTTGTGGCAGTGTGAGCAGTGTAGGCAGACATTACAGGAACCTGGAAAATCAATTATTATCTTATTATAGCTTCCATTTTTTTAAATTCTATAGCCACCTTATAGACATATATTAGACATAATGCTTTTTCAAAGTCCCCCGTGTTACTCATTTTTTAACGGGCACCAAGCTACATTTCGGTATGATGAAGCTGATTCCTGATATGAAAGTGTGGAGCTTCTTATGAGTACTCTTTAACCCTAGAATATAAAATCGCTGCCCCTCAAAATGGCAGACCGTCAAAGTTGAACATTTTTGCAAATTGAGTTGCTTATCATAAAAATGCTATAGTATGTTGAGTCAATTCTGTTCTTGTTAAGGATCTATACGAATATGTAACAAAATATGGAACAGTTTATTAAATAAATTTGTCTGTATGTTATTGCACAATCAGACAGATCTTTCCAAAAGAAGATTGTCAAGTTGACGTCTCCTCTCCTTCTAGAAATTTACAACTGTTAGTTTTACGATAAAGTATAGCATACATGCATTTTGGAAAGCACTATGTAAGAGGTACAGCTCGTCAAGTGTAGGAAGAGATGCGAATTTTAGAATGTCATATCGGTGCGTAGTAACTAGCGGCTCAATTCGCCGCACGAATCAGTAGTCTCTGTTGTCGTGTCGTGTATTGTTACGAATTCGTGGGTCGAATACATACAATTTTACGCTGTTAATTGTCGCCATTTATTCCTTCGTGTGCTAAGAGATTTACTCGATTATAAAATTACAACGTAAAGTTTTATCAGGATAAACTAGAGAGGTTGTAGCAAATGTTATGTTCTTCATGCAACGAGAATCAGAAGAAAATAAACTTCTTAAGAATTTGAAGAAAGTTCAGGAGCGTAAGATTCCAACTTTGCGGCGCATACTCAGCAAATTTGTTCAAGAACACAATTACACTGGATCGTATGAAAATTTAAGGGAAGTAATGAGGACAATGAGATTTCGTTGGAGGAAGGTAAGAACTAATAGAACACTTCTTATGGAGAAACCAGAGATTCAGCATCTCAGGGGGAATTTTCTGAGAACGCTGAAAGAATATAGAGAAAAAAATCTCCCCATAATTTATATGGACCACACATACATCCATGCATGACATACGCGCATAATATACGTATAATACCAATGAGGGCCTTACAGGCCAGTTTCAAAAGGACAATGATTTATTATTGTGCATGCTGGTAGTGAAAATGGTTTCGTGGAAAATGCATATCTGAAATTTAAATCCAACAGCAAGTCGGGTGATTATCATAGTGAGAGATGAAGTATATTAACTAAAAAAATGGCTTCAGGATAAACTGATTATAGTGTTTTGGTTATAGACAACGCTCTGTACCACAATGTTGAGGTAGACAAATGTGCTCTCAGAAGGACCATATGAAAGAATGGCTAAAGCAAAAAAACATACATTTCACTGACGACATGTTGAAAATTGATTTGTGTAGTCTTCCTAAAATGCATCAGCCGGCATATATATAACTGATGAAATATACCGAATAATGGCCGAAAAAGGTCATTCTGTTGATTCAGATTATCACCATATCACCCCGACTTGAACCCAATTGAGTTGGTATGGGAATCTTTGAAACAAACTTTGCGACGACTTTTCCCGTTTTATCCCACAGAAGAATGGAAAAAGCGATGTGAGCATGTCAAAGGTTTTGAGAAGCAGTATATGAAAATGGAACCGTTTCCACATACTGCACCAGTACTGGAACCAGCACTCGACTTAGTTGTGGATAAAATAATAATAAACCTAGACGAAGATAGCGATAGCGACACAGATTCCGATTCCGAACTTTCAGGATTTGGTCCTCTGTGAAACTTCATGAATTTTTAAAATATGGCCAACTGTATCTACAACGATGTTTTCTGACCTTACTTTTCACTTAATTGCGAATTAATTGAAATTATTAACAATTAAAATAGAATTAGTACCAATCAATTTCAATCTTACAGCAACATAGCCCCTGCAATACTTATTTTATAGAATAAATGGTTTTGGTTTCCTTATTTCTATGTTTAACCCATTTATATAAATAATCACAAAAATCCGATTTTTAACATTTCTTCAGTAGCGAACAGGTGTGAAAACATCAAACTATTTCTGTAAAACTAATGTATTATGCAATTTTGAAAATATTGAAAAAGTAGTAATATATAAAACTTGTTTTTTAGATATAAATTTTTAAATTGCTTCTGGTGGACGTGCAATAGTATTTCAAGATATCCTAATGATATAGACGCGTTAATTGTACATTATATACTCTCAAACGCAATTTTATATTGCATATAAATTCAACCCATTGAGCCAATTTTCTCTAAGAGCCACATGAAATACTCACAATAGATAGCTTAAGATCGGGTGCTCGTCGAATTGATGATCTAACGCTAACAATGATAGACCTTAGTCTTGTAACGTTAATGAAGTGATCAAATTTAGAATAATGGGCTCACAAAAAGATATTTAAAAATTTGACGAATGCCAACAATTTCGATTAAAGAAAGCGGTCTTGACATAATAAGTATTTCGTTATTGAAATTATTCGATTAATTTAGGACGCAGACTGTACCACTCGAGATCGAATGGAACGTATTGTACGCGCCATCTCTTTTGCTCCGTATGCATTCTCCCTCTCTCGTATGCGCAATCTCAGCAAATCCTCATATCTCTTCCTACACTTGACGAGCTGTAGATAATATTTTATTTTGCTGCGTCATATTTGAGATCTTGTCTGCCTTTTGCTCTCTGCATAACTATTAATCGTGTTTGATACTCCTTTGTGACAACAATATTTGAAACTAGTCAAGTCATCGTTGGTTGACAGAGCGGTCCGTGGGACCTAGCTCTTGAGTCACAGTGTCAGTTTGTAAGTCTGTCAGGTTTGGTAACCCAGAAACCAGACAATTTCAAGGAAAAAAAGGGAAGGAAAGGAGAGAAGGATAGGCAGCGTTTAGGCATTGTTGAAATCACTTCACAGATTTTGATATGGTCTAAAAATATACGATTTTTTCTAAAGATTTTGTCAAAATGATCCAATTTTGGTTGTTCTAAGTTCACGAATTAATTTTGATTACAGTGCGAGCCGCGGCCTTTTGTGCTTGCGAACTTGCTCGACTGTATAGTCCACTGACTCACGCAACAGAGGGTTGCTGTGCGATTCCGCTAGGCTATAGCGCCGTTGCGCCGGTTGCTTAATGTAGTCCTTTAGGTAAGCTATTTCGAGGTCTGTATGTATAGTTTCGTTAGAGACATACCATGGGGCGTCAGCAATAGTGCGCAACATCCTGCTTTGCAGAACCTGCAGATTTCGCATGGGTGTTTTAGCAATAAAACACCAAGCCGCACATGCGTAAGTCATTGCTGGTCTTATGACCACCTTTTAGAGTCGAATCTTGTTAATCAAACTTAATTATGAACGTTTACGTAACAATGGGTAAAGCTGTCGAAACGTAATTTGGAATTTAGTTTTTAGCGCTTCTATATGGTTCCGCCAAGTCATCCCTTTGTCCAGAATGACAACGACATACTAAGCGGAGGATTCCCATGGTATACGAAGTCCATTCATTGAAACTTCAGACGGAATGAGGCGACGTCTTTTTGTACAGTAGATTGCCTGCGTTTTCGAATAGTTAATTGTAATTAGCCACCGATCCGCCCAATCTAATACTTCCTCCACCGCACTTTGCAGCCTGTCATGGACTAGGTCACCAGACCACGACTAAGCCACCAATGCAGCATAGAGATAGACTTCACATTTGCTGGGGCTAGGGACGTTAAGGATAGGTCCAAGGACGGAACCCTGAGGGACGGCGGCTGTAATCAGCCGTGTTGTCGACAGGACATTGTCAATTTTGATCCGAAATTTCCTACCTTCAAGGAAGGATTTCAGTAGTTTTAGAAGCCTAAAAGGGAGGCCCTTTTGGATTAGTTTATACAGGAGGCCCGCGTGCCACACCTTGTCAAATGCTTTTGAGACATCCAAAAGCAAGATGCCAATACTTTCGTTGAGAGTGAATCCTCTGGTTACTCGTTCCACCAGCCTAACCGCCTGTAGCTCCGTACTATGTTCAGACCGAAAACCAAATTGCACGTCAGGAATCACAAGGTGATCTGACGAGAAATTCTCAAGGTGATGTAGAATCACCTTTTCAGCGAGCTTAGATGGAGCTGACAGCAGGCTAATGGGATGATAATCCTGGGAAAATATCAAACCTACCTTCCTTGGAATCACTATAACTTCAGCGGTATGCCACGCGGATGGGAAGTACTGGGTCCTTAGCATGGCATTGATTATTGCCACGCGAAAGCAGCTTCAGCGCCTTATTAGTGATTTGATCCTCCCCAAGTGTTTTACGTACTTTAAGGTTTTTAATATGACCTTGAATCTCTGCTGGTGTGCAATGCGGGATCTCGGGAGATTCCGCTGATGTGCTAAGCAGATCTTCGGTTGAGGAAGCTTCTGAAGAAGAATCTTCTGATGAAGAAAAATCACCAACGGTAGTACGACTGTCACTGACCCGTTGGCCCTAAAATATCTCCTGACAGATCTTACGATGTGTTGCTCCTAGTCGAGGTCATTATCAAGATCATAGTTGGGAGAGGACTGTCTTTCCATGGCATCGGCGAAAACCTCAACCTTTTCCTCCGTCCTGAAGACAATGCCTCCAGGCCCGTGAATGTGTGGGATTTGTTCACGCTTTCCATTTTTGAGCGACTTCGCCACCTTCCTGAGAGGAATGCTTGAGTCAAGCATCTCCGCCAGAAAGTTGTTCCATTGCTCATTGCGGAATTCACGAAGAGCATTTCTTACTTCATGAACAAAATTTGTCTCTCTGCGAATGTCATTGGGATGACAAGACCTTTTCGCTTGCTTAATTGCAGCCCTTTTATCAGAAATTTTTTGGCGAATGTCTGCTGGCAGAAAAGGTCTGCCGTGTCGCTGCACGGAAAGTACAGCTGCACGCTGCAAAGCTTGCTGAACAAAACCGCATTTATATCGTTCTCATAATAGATGATCGGAATACATATTGGGGAACTCTCTCAGGAGCGACTTGAATAGCTCCCAGTCAATGCGTTTCCTCCAAGATCTGCTCATTACCCACTTCCAAAACGATGAGAAGATGATCGCTTGAGATGTCATACATGATTCGAGAAGTGATACTGTATCTACAGTTTTTGGATATTGCAAAATCAAGAACATCAAGTGCCTGAAGGTGATTAAATGGATGGTGCGTCGGCTCCTCAGTACTATGTATGAGGTAGCCATTTCGTATCATATGGTTGTACAGTCGGATCCCACTGGTGGAATTCAACCTAGAATGCCATGCTCGATGTTTGTAGTTGAAGTCCCCTGCCACAATAAGTGGACCCGAGCAGTCTAAAAGGACTTCAGGTCCGCCTCTTGCAGCCTGATACCACACCAGACATACACCGATGTGATTTCTAACGGCACACCTCGCGTCATATTGACCACTTCGGAAGCCGCTTCGATGCTCTGAATCTCAGAGTTTGTGCTTCTGTCGTAGTCAATACCGCGTTTCACTAGCACTGCCAAGCCTCCACCCCGTCCAGTCAATCTATCAGCTCGGATAACATCCTAATTCTGGAAAGCTAAACGATCTCCCGGATTAAGTAATGTTTCCTGCAGCAAGGCCACATCTATATTTTCGTCTACAAGAGCCTGATGAAATTCCCGTTTTTTGGGAATGTCCCTTAGACCCAAACAATTCCAAAAAAGAATTTTGATAAATGCAGGCTGTCGTCTATTGTACCTAGCCATTTGCAGGAAAGATCGCCTGCAAAGCCTGTGTTGCGCTAATCAGAGGACCTATGATCTGCTGTTAGGACCTTAGCGCGGTTGTCAGGTCCACATTTTGCGTGTTCGCAGAAGATTCCACAGAGGGGCAGCCCGGGTTGCATCCCTAGCTGCATCCGCGCAACTTACATTGCGTCTTTGCGCTATCTCTTGCAGATTTTTCCTGGGGCCAAATCTGCAAGTTCGGCTATTCGCTGGGTGCCCCCCTCCACAGTTCGCGCATATTTTTGGCAGCGGTGACCCTTCCCGATGAGTCTTGAGTTCTTTTGAACTTCGCCTCGGATAGCCAAACCTAGCAGCTCATGTTCGTTGAACAGCTGCTGAGATTTTTCTATCTTGGGCAGTATGACTACCACCAAAGGCATGGGCACGCCGCCACCGCGTTTCAGCCGAATTATGTGCAGGGAGGCATATCCGCTCTGCTGCAATTCTTTCTTGATCTCCGTTTCCGATATTGTCGCAGGTACTTTTCTGATTACAGCATGAATGCTCCTTTCCGAGGGTAGAGAGAAAGTGCGGTGGGGCACTTCTTCCTCCCTGAAGAGACGAATAATCCTGCGGTAATCCTCCTCGGACTTGGGAATTATCCTGATTCCTGCATCGACGGCAACCGCGCGTTCGAATTTGATGCCCAAAGAAATAAACTTGTGATTTACGCCTCGCCATTTCGAAGCATCCCGATGAACGATGGGGGTAACACGTCCTTGCGTGGAGGCTGTGTGGTCGTGTCTTCTGATACCTGTGATGTCGAAGGCGAAGAGGTGACCGATATATTAGGCACAGGCTGTTTATTCGAGTCGCTTGCAGTTGAACGAGGCGTTTCAGACTGCGATTTTAGTGGAAGTAGAGGAGGAAAGCCTGCCATGTCGGTTTTGTTTCCTCGCGTTTTACGGGGCTTAACCTTGATAAAACCGTCACGGAGTGTATCGTCGTCAGTGGAATGATCGCTTGAATTATTTAACGGTCTCTTAAGATTGACAGCTTTCTCTTTACTGGGATTTTGTTGGAGTGTTTGGGAAGAATGTGTATTATTTAGATGGGGAGGTACCTGGGTTTTCAGTAGGAGGTCTAATTTAACTGTTAGGTCGTTAATTGTCCACTGCTGGGCTTCGGTGATCATCATTAACCTTTCAATGGTCTTCTTATCATCGTCCTTTTATGACAGCTCCGATTCGACTCTCAACATTTAAAAAACAGTACTTTAGAGATTAGAGTTTACATGGGCGATTAATAGATTTCATAATCAAGAGTGCGTAAGTCTACTTGACTACGTTTGTTTTGTCCTGTACGACTCCAACCCAAAATGAAGCTTCTTTTTTAACATACCTAATTTTTTCGCCAGTATGGAGCGTAACTTCAATGCAGGTCCCAGTTTCATATTCATCGTAGATGTGAGGTGTTCTTCAGTGAGAAGTGGCAGTCCTGCGCCATCTATGCGTTGCTCCCTGAATGTCTGAAATAAAATCGAAGTTGTAGGTTGCTTTATATATAGGAAACCGTGTATGAAATACATAATACAGTAAACTTGGTAATGCGGATAGAGACAGGATATTAAAGGGATTTCTCGATTTTCCATATAGAAGTAAGCGTCAAGACATTTTTCCCAATGAGGATTCGGTATTTGATTGAAGACTGCTCCTAAGTTATAGAGCTAACAAATGCTTGAGTCTACGAAGAGGTTGTATCAGCTGACTTGAATCTAAGTGATTCTTCGGCCGTGGGAATGCTGCCAGGTATGTATTTGAAACATTTGGTGAATGCATACTTGCGCTTTAAACTAGTGCAAAATGGTGGATGTGTAGTTAACGTTTATATATAAAAATGGCGAGTGTGACATCTGCAAGTAGAATATCCAGTCTAGTTATAAGAGCAAGTTGAAGCACAAGTAGAAAGGGTACTAAAAAAGTTTTGCAATATGGCCTAGCAAACGGACGCTGAAAGCTGCATGTTACTGCATGTTGAGACATGACCATGAGTGCATAGGAGTCGCCAGCAGCACGTCCGTTGATTTAGCTGTTAATTCGCATTGAGAGTGTAAAGTGTGGACGATGGTATCAGTGAAATAAAGGCAGTTTTACGATGTAACTTTACGCGTGGTTTAGGCATAGATCAGTGCATAGAAGAAATGACACTTGCATTAAAGAATTATTGTCCTCATCGTACGACTATATTCAGGTGGTATAGATAATTCGAAAGGGGCAATTTCACCCTGGAGAAGGCTGTGAGGAAAATGCTTGACGAAGACCGTAGAGTGGCATACTAACACATAGAGGAGATCTTACATCCTCATGCGTCAGCAATTCGTTCAATTCTGCATGATCATTTACACGTAAGGAAACTCTGTTCTCTCTGGGTACCGCATAGTCTGACGGAAGAACAGAAGACTCGTCCTACGACTTGGTGCCGAAACATGCTGAAAGGGTTTGATAAGGGGCAATCTCGGTATGTGAACAGCATCATGACAGGTGATGAGACTTGGCTCTATTATTTCGATGTGCCGACCAAGGCCCAAAACAAAATTTGGGTTTTTAATGACGAGGACACCCGTAGCTGTCAGAAAATCGTCTGTTAAGAAAACAATGATAGCTGTATTTTTTCAAATCGAGCGGGATTGTGGAGCGTGTCGTGACAGTCACAGCTAAGTGGTACACGGAACAGTGCCTGCCTAAAGTCATAGAGTCTATGAAAAACCTGCGACCAAAGTCTAGAATGGACACTTGGTACCTCCACCATGACAACGCTCCAGCTCACCGGGCCAAAGCGTGCACCGAGTATTTGACCACTACTGTACTGAACCTGATTGAGCACCCTCGTTACAGTCCAGATCTTGCTCCCTACGACTTTGCACTGTTTGCGCAGGTGAAAATGAATCGAAGTATATTGAAGTCAATAAATAAAGCTGTATTGCAAAACTTTAATAGTATCGTTGGTACGTTGGGTACTGGAAAAAATATAAAAACTACCACCATATTCCAACTGCTGTTAGAATATGCTTAACATTCATTTGTGTTATGTTTTTCAATGACATATTGTATTTACTTTACTCCTATGCAACTTAATTGCTCATCTTAGCATAGTTGCAAACAACAACTGCTACATACAAATAAAAAGTAAAGGATGGTAAGGACTAAAAAGTGGATAGTTGGTAGCCTGCCATTTAGAGACATTCTTGGTGCGATTGTAAGTTTTTATGCAATAAGATACATGTAGATACAATTACGCTTACTGTTAATAATCTTAAATGAAGTAATAACTTTTGATAAAAAGCATCACACATTGCTTAATAATTATACTTTTTATGAACAAAGCAAATAAAAAAGATTTTAGATTTATCAATTTGCTACTACTAACAGGAAAAGTCTGTAATGTATCCAAATGCGAAAAAACTACAATTGTATATGCATTAGAGATAGGTAGATAAGCAATTTGCAAATATTATATCGGCTTTATGTATATCATGACCTTTCGATTACATCGGATCATAAACTGCAAAAAGTGACATAATGGCCTTTCTACATAAATAACTCTAAATGTCAACAACTTGTAACGTATCAACAAGACATAAAAAGGTTTGCTCTAGATTCTTCACTAATATCGACTACCGTAATTATAGCCTTTAGCCATCAAATTGAGAAATGTTTCTTGAATAGCTAATAAAGAATCATGTGACTATAATTACTTACGAGTAGTAAAGGGATAATTGCAGAAAACGTAGAATGGAAAATGCATGATATTTTATTACTCTCACAACAGCTATATTAAGATACAATTGAAGATCTATCTAGAACTACAGTACTCAGTGCGTTTTGTGTACCTAAATTTATAAGATATTTGTAATTGCTACTTCAAAGGCCAACTTCCACATACAGAGTAAATTGTTTGTCTGGTGTCGCTCGATTGTCACCGTTATAAGATATATGTAAAAAAGTTATTTAAGTTATTTGGTACTTGCCAAGTTTTTTTTCGATAGTTTGTCCAATATCTCAATAATCCGGAGATAAAACCCTATAGTATGTTACTGCTTAGTTTGATAGGGACTAACCAAATGTGCAATAAAATGTAGGGATATCCATTCAAAAAATGTATCTTTGAGTCACCACGTAGATATCAATTGCAGTGTAAGTAACTGTAAAAATATTTTCCGAGTCGAAAAAATACTGTTGGCTACGATTTTGGTATTTATTTTTGTTATATACGAGTATACAATGCGTAATAGTAGTAAATTTTGTCTTGAACTTATCCCATTCACTATTCATAAAAATCACATTTCATAAAAAACAGATAGCGCCGATTCAAGCGGCCGGATCTTAGAGTAATAGGAATATGGCAGTCCTTTGCTATTACTCATCTGACCTATAGCATGTCAGGTGAACCATAATAAACAATGAATAAATAATGTGTTTCCATATATTCCATAAAATAAGCTCCATGAGATAATGCAAGTACGCAACCGCGTACATAATTACTTCGGAAGCCTGGAAAGATCACAAGCCCAGCGTGAGCAACTTAATCTTAATTAATCTGTCGAAACGAAACAAACTGCAATAATGACTTTGCGGTTTCCGTCATATATTATCTTGTAGTATTGCAGCTATTTCTAACATGACCAATGGCGGATCACCTTGAAAAGTAAAAAGGACCAGATGACGTGAGTCAAAAACAAAAAACTAATTTAAAACATGTACATTTGTTCACACCACGCCACGTGTCAAATCCAGAAGACACGCTTTACTGTCCACACTAACTGGCGGCGAAGTATTGTAATTGCAAAAAAATTGAGACATTGTGTTCTTTGGATGTTAAATTTCAGCATATATGGCCCGGCTCTTTTAAAAAATGATTGTTTAAAATTACAGCGAGTACAAAATTCGTGTCTGCGCTTATCCTTTGGTATAAGAAAGTATGATCACATAAGCCATATATTCAAACAACACAACATTCTAAGTTTAGATAGATTGAGAAAATTTCATTTCTTATCACTAATCCACAAAGTTCTCGTGAACAAAAAGCTGGAATACCTTTTAGATATAATTTCAAAGTTTGAAAATATCAATACATTTTATACTAGAAATAGGCGAATGTTCGTTATACCACCTCACTCAACATCAACCTTTAAACGCAGCTTTTCATATAATGCAACCAAGCTATAAAATTGTCTCCCAAATGATTTTTATGACGTCTCTTTATTGAACTTTAAGAAAAAGCTAAAGAATTTGTTTCTGTCTGAAGTGTGAAGGATCCTATATTCCAACTCTGTTTACGCCCACTACTTTTCTACTTGTCTCTCTTTCATTCTTGTTCTATTAATTGTTGATACTAAAATACTTTTTCGTTACCTTCAAAAATATATTATGATTTGCTGATAGGATGTTGGTAGCTACACCAGCAACAAAAGTCTTTTAATCCTACGTTGAATAAAGGCACATTATTATTATTATTATTATTATTATTATTATTATTATTATTATTATTATTATTATTATTATTATTATTATTATTATTATTATTATTATAATATAGATGTCATATTCACTCATTTCCGTCAATTTGTCTATCGGTCTGTGCGTTGATCCTTGACGTCTCTATAAGTTAAAAAGCTCTGATTTTGATGGAATTTTGACGTAATGCCAGGCGCTAAAGCGATCTCTCATAGGAGGCTGTAGCCCTCAAAATTTGCATGCTTAACATGGTGTTGTAAAAATCTTTGAGGAATTTTCGAATTTTTGAGCTCATGAAAAATATTTTAACAGTACTGAATTGTTTTTTAAGAATTGATATCCCGTAAAGCAGCAGCATTTTTAAGTCATTTTACATATCGTCAGGTGCCTGAAAAAACAAGATAACACCATTTTCTATACTTTTTGAGGTGATGCCAAGGACGAAAAAGCTTTGTAGCTTTTGGGAATCAGTCCAGTCTCGCCGGAAAGAAGGCCAAAAACGAAAAAAAAAAAATCGCTCAAGCTTCTTGTTTTGGCATTTTAGATGATTGTACGGGTGAGGTAGGATATATCACAATTTCCTGATGGTAGTACATTAATACACCTCCAACTGCGATAATTCGACTCTTAGACTATTTCACACCTCACAGATTTCTCCGTACATTTGCCCTTAAAACTTGGAACAATATTTCTAGTCTATAGGTCTTACTTGCGATGGATTATTTGTAACTTGGGATTATAAATATTGTATCTTTGGTACTAAATCCAAGCGAGATCAATAAAAGAAGGTAGGAAGCGGTGCGATAACCTACGAGGTGGGCGCCATATTACCTATATTTATAAGCGTAGTTCAATTCCATATACTACGTTTCGGGAACTCTAGTCCACCCTTGAAATTAATTTGGTTAAACCAAATTTGGCTATACAAAACGGCCATTACACCAGCGATCCAGCAATTGCGGCTTAGGGTTCACTATGTACATGTGACATTTATAGGTTTTTCAGAGCAGAGCCTTACGTAGTCGATGTAAGACAGATGAAAAAATGGAAAATTGGGCTTGTAGTTTATGCAGGG